ATGCGGATCTCACCCAAGTTCTCCCCAAACTTGGTATCAGGTAACATGCACACCACCTGCACGGATGCAAGGCATTTAGAAGTGCATTTCAGCTGCCATCATTTAAATCTATTCTCACAAAAAACGTCATGCTGCCAAGTGTATTATATATTGGCCTCATGCGAATAGGCTTTGTATTGATTGCCTGCGCAGAACAGCCTGCTATTTTTTACTGCAGTAAACCAAAGTCCAGTTGGACAGCAGATCAAACATCTGAGTTCATTATGGAATCTGAAAATGCTATTTCCAAAACAATAATACATTCTAAAACTTTATTACAAAATGCCAGACACTTTGGAGTGTTCTCTCTGTGACGATGCCCGTGTCTGCTCTATTCATATGCAGATGCAGGCTGCTACAATTAAAATGAAGAATTGCCTGAAAGTGCAACTGACATTAAGATATTTATGGGCAGTGCAATACGCAGCATTTTCCATGTGGACTGCATTTAGCACATTTAATTATGTTATCTGCTTCCTTTAGAGAGGGACATTTTTTGACATAATTATTTGATCAAGACAAATAAGTGGCTGCCACGCACATTATTTTCTCTGCTAATGGGACCTACCAAGAACCTGCTACAACATATCATCTACCGACATTTAATTATAGCAAACCCTTGTTTGTGTTGGGGGATCAGTGCACCCCAAGTGCGACCTTTTCACACGCACTCACTCCCACGTCCTTTTGTTACTAATAATCGCGTGCCACCGTTATTAGAGAGGAGTTCAAAAGCGGGATGACGCATAGCTCCGTGTTCTGTCCTTGAGATGCGTTTCGGGACGATGCTTTGCTTTGCCGTTCGTCGGCAGGGGAGGCGACGTGCAGTGGCGTACGGCGGTGGTGGTGCCCGCAGCAGCAGCAGCGAGGTTATGCGCAACTGACAGTGTGCTTAGTATCGCTGCAACTCACCTGCAGCAAAACCCCGGACCCCCAGGAAAACCTCAGCCACGGCCAGCCTTGTGGCTACGGGCCACGCCCAGGTAGGCAAAACAGACATGGGGCACTGTTGCGCAATTCAGTTATAAAATTATGAGTCTATTTCTAATCAAGGCAATGTGATTTCCAGCCCAAATGATCATTGAGGCGGTGCTCATCTACTGGTGGAAATTTCACATTCCTATAGTGGGGGCGAGTCTCCCCATAGGACACCTACTGTTGACTTCCACACAAAGTGGAACGAGTTTTATTGATCCCGAAGGGCTGATGGGCCCAGTCAACCCTTAATATTCCTACTGCGAGCCTCCCATGATCCCGCTGAGCCGCCTGGCCAGTGACCCTGTCTAGATACGGTGGCTCTGAGCCCCAAAACACACAGACAACGTCTGTGTCAGAGCATTCATGAAACATGTCTACAACAGATGCAGGCAGAAGACAAGGTCATATTAATGTTCTGTGCACAATTAGCAGGGGTCACGATGTCTGCATTGAATGGCTACTGTCACATGGGACCCAGGGCACTCAATAGCACAACGCATGTATTTGCAACTAATCAATCAACCAAGGAAGGCATCAATCAAGAAAGACTGCCAAACATCTGACAAGTGCGACATCCAACCACTGCAAAGCTATGAGACCGGTTTGTCAGTACCCTCGCTCCAAACGAAACCCCCCTCCCCCGAATCTCAAGGACACAACACACTCAGGTTTATTGGTTTGGTTGTGGCAATGCTTTGACATTTTAAAATAAAGTATTAAAATAAAGAAAACAGCTCTTGAGAGTTCAGACTGGACCGGCAGTGGCTCAGCGGAGCGCAAACGTGGAAAGTGCAGCTGCCCTCTGCCACCCTGTTGTCATCTTGGTCAGGGTAACAACGTTGATTGTGGTGATCACAATCATACACATGGGAATTTAACAACGTTGATTGTGGTGATCACAATCATACACATGGGAATTTAACAACGTTGATTGTGGTAATAACAATCATACACATGGAAATTTAACAACGTTGATTGTGGTAATCACAATCATACAGATGGGAATTTAACAACGTTTATTGTGGTGATCACAATCATACAGATGGGAATTTAACAACGTTGATTGTGGTGATCACAATCATACACATGGGAATTTAACAACGTTGATTGTGGTGATCACAATCATACATATAAAAATTTAACAACGATGATTGTGGTGATCACAATCATACACATGGGAATTTAACAAGATTGATTGTGGTGATCACAATAATACACATGGGAATTTAACAATGTTGATTGTGGTGATCACAATCATACAAAAGGGAATTTAACAACGTTGATTGTGGTGATCACAATCATACAGATGGGAATTTAACAACGTTGATTGTGGTAATAACAATCATACACATGGAAATGTAACAACATTGATTGTGGTGATCACAATCATACACATGGGAATTTAACAACGTTGATTGTGGTGATCACAATCATACACATGGGAATTTAACAACATTGATTGTGGTGATCACAATCATACATATAGGAATTTAACAATGATGATTGTGGTGATCACAATCATATACATGGGAATTTAACAACGTTGATTATGGTAGTAACAATAATACACATAGGAATTTAACAACGTATTTGTGATGATCACAATCATACACATGGGAATTTAACAACGTATTTGTGGTGATCACAATCATACACATGGGAATTTAACAACGTTGATTGTGGTAATCACAATCATACACATGGGGATTTATCAACGTTGATTGTGGTAATCACAATCATACACATCGGAATTTAATAACGTTGATTGTGGTAATCACAATCATACACATGGGAAGTTGACAACATTGATTGTGGGTGATCACAATCATACACATGGGAAGTTAACAACATTGATTGTGGTAATTATTGTGGTCATTATTTTGGTTGGCATTGCAAAAATTTCTCCAAGCAAAGGTGAAGGGACATCAAGTGGTAGGTGGCAACAGGCACATGTGTGGTGACACGACCCAGTGGTCGTGCATTCGCCGCTTGTTGCAGAGATTCGTGGTTCCCTCCTGGAAGCCTGCCTTGGTTAATACTGGCGGTGCATTAACCATAAAATATATATTTCACTTTTAAACACTTTGCAGGAAAACAGAAAAAGTATTGACATTTAAGTGAGGCTTTCCTTGATAAAAAAAAGTTACATTATTACTTTGGAGAATGTTGGTTGGCCCAGCATTGTTACTTTCAGTAATGAACGTAGAAATGTACCCGGTTATATCACGCATCTATTTAATTATTTATTCATAGCTTTGTCCCCAAAATGTACCTAATTGTATCATTTAATTTATATGATGTATTCATCCAAATATCTCCCACAGCAATGCATTCCTTCATGTCAGAGAACAGCCCACAGAAGCTAATGTCACAAAGCTACCTTTGAGATCCCTTCAAGTGACCTCTGATCTATGCAGAGGTCGCTTGAAGGCACTTTGCCGTCCACTCTACCGCGTTGCATGAAAATCTATTTCTCAAAGCTGGAACTTAGGCAAAAGTGCAGACCCAAATTTAGTAAGATTTTTTTTTTTAGTTCAAACATTGGTGACCAATTTAAAGCTTTCGTGACTGCAATGATTCATCTTCTTTGGTTCTTTCGGTAAAGTCACGTAGAATGAGAATAAAATTATAAATTGATAAAATAAAATAACACAGAATTTTATTGTGTTATTTTATTTTATCAATTTATTATTTTATTCTCATTCTACGTGACTTTACCGAAAGAACCAAAGAAGATTGGTGACCAAGTTGAGACGTCAACTCTCTCCACCCGAGGACCCGGTTTGATCACAGGCACCTGCCTGGATTCAAACTCAGGAACTCAGCAATGCCTGCTCTGTGCTCTGACCCCTGAGTCACCTGGCTTCCTCTAGTTTACTCAGTGTGTGGAATTAAAAAATGTAAACTCATCCCATCTGTAATTAATGTGGATAGCCTGCTAAACGACTCAATGAGAGCCCATGGGAATCCTCTGCATCGTCATTGAATGGTTATTGTTATGGCTTTTTTCCAAAAGAATGATCCTATTCTCACAACTGTGACAAATGTAATGTGGCAACATTCAAATATTTCCATAATTGCAGCAAGGCAGGGCCTGGAATGTTTTGTCTCTATACTTGTCTTCGATGACGTAGATAATTGTGCATTAAAAACAAACAGCTCCTAGTAAATTTGCCTTCACAAAGTAATTTTGAAAATGAAAGCTTCATGAATATTCATATGGCACATTTTGTCCACGCTATCCAGACTACGCAGTCTTCAGTGTTTGCATGAAACAGAAACAACGACAATAGTTGTCTTGTGCATAGACTTCTCCTTGCCATACGGAATGGGGAATTTCCACCACTGGCTCAGGGCTGTAAACAGGCAATGCTCATTTGAGCAGGAAATCACTTTGACTTTGAGAGACAAGGAAGGCCCTCGGTTGACTGCCTGCAATCCGGTAATTTCGAAGTTGATGGATCAGATAGATTTGTGAAACTCCTGAAGCACTGGGCTAGCAAGGGGTCCAGGAGATACTAGCAGCACCGCACTGCGCTTATTGAATGCATCTGTGCAGAATCTTGTTTTCCCTTCTATTGGTGCGTTTTATCTGGGTTCTCTGGTTTCCTGCCATACACAGAGCACTCTTTACAAAAATAAACTGTCCAAACCTTCCCATGTAGAATCCGCCTGAAAATAGTCTTAACATTCAGTGAGGTTTTCTTGAAAAAAATATTGACATCGTGATTATGGGGAATGTGGGTGCAATGGTCAACGCACTGCATGATGAACCTGGCAACTTGAGTTTGATCCCCTGCCACGATTAACTTCAGTGGCGAGTGACATCTGAACCGATCCCAAGTACCCCCCCTTCACCGCGCTGACCAGTTTGGTGAAGCATAGTTCAAATAATGACTGACACAAGGTGCCTTCATACAACAGTGCGTTGACAAAGGACCTTCATTATTACTGTAATGGTAATTTTACAATTGTTGGCTTACCTCCGGATGGCCTTGTAGCAGATGGTGACCAATAGGATGATGGCTAAGAGAATCACGCCACCCACCACCAGGAAAACGACCAATTCCAGCCACTGGCTGTCTTCTATCACAGGCCCTCTGGTTGGGTTTGGTACTAAATTGAAAACAGAATAAACATGCATGGAGTAACAATCACAGACTGTGCTCTTGAAGGGCTGGGGCTTGAGCATGGTTGCAGCAGTGAACGTAAAAAAATAACTTAACTTAAGCACGTTAACATCGCGCAGTAAATTACTGAAAATTGTGGACGACGGTACATTTTGCGTTGTGTCCTCGTGGAAGGTCTTAGTTTCTATTCACCTGCCATGACCGGCCACACCTGTTGTGTACATTACTGTGGACCTCATCGTCCCAAATCCCAACTCGCCAACACTCACCAAATCCATCGTTACTTACTTCAGCACAGCAGGGTAATGCGTGTGTGTATTCCCGTGGGTTTTCAGCTGTCAAGTGGCATATTGCAAGAGCCTTGTTACAAGTTCCGCACGTCAGGAACAAAATTAATTATGGCCTAAACCGAGGGAGTTCACCTCATCAATCACATATGTGGTGCCTTGTCAATAAGCTAACCACACTTTTAGCTGTGCTGGGAAATCCATTTATGTAATTAAATCAGAGCGAAAAAAATCATGGAATTCCTGCTTCAGGAACATTTCCCATGGTAGAAACATTCTTACCGATTAGGGTACAGGCACTGAAATGTGATGTCCCCTGCTGACCTGTCAGCCCTCTCTCAGCAGCTGAACCAATCAACATTTCCACTTCTTTGTTTCAGTATTCAAATGTACATTATTTGAAGACTATAAACAACAGAAACAAATTAGGCGTTGTTGTTAATTTCCATAATTTTGAACTTATACGATACATTCCATGTCCACAATAAATAGCATATAAGCATGCAAGGAGATACACTTTATTAACAAAATGCTTTAAAAGGTATCCACATGTTGCCGCATAATTTGCACAGAGATTAGAGTGATCATGGGAATCGTACATTTGAGATGCGGAATTACACTCAGCAGCATCGTGTGCATTCAAATTCACTCTTTAAAAAATATTACCACAGAGTGAACCTTTATATTTGGCCGGATGAAAACAATCTTTGCCACCCCACTTGAAATGATTAAGCGATATATCTGGTCTGTGCCCATGGACTTCCCGTGCATGTATAGACACATATGCCTCACACACAACCCCCATCCATATAGCCATGTGCCAAGTGATATTAGCCAGCGCATATTAAAGCCAGCATGGCACATAATGGGGTGGTGCGGTCGGGTCCACGTTTAACTACAAAATTAGGTGCTAATATAGGACCAAGTCACCCTCAGGGAGGCCCAGGACAAGCTCAGATATCACCGACGGTTAGCCATGGCTGAGAATCAATTTGGCAGTAACCTGGTTGAGAGAACAGTACGCTAACCACTCAGCCACTGCTCTCCAAAGCCATATGCGCACACGTTGGTAATGCACAGTGACGTGCATAGGGTGGCGCAATAGACCCGGGTTTGATTCCTGTGTAGGGGTGCCTTTTCCGTGTGTACTCTATGTTATACCCCTGTGATGCGTGGATCCCTCTGGGATTCCCCATTCCCTCCCATAGCTAGAACACGCAACGTCAACGGTGGTGGCCAAATATCCCAATGTAGCAGGACCCGAGTGAAAAAGTATCTTCGAATTCAGGGTCGCTTTCCCGGATAAATAAGCAATTATACTTTTATTTCATATGGAGGGACAAGATATGTCTAACTTTTCACGTGCTTATTTCTGGTACAACCGGACTGATGATTATGTTGTGTTCGGACCCATATTAACTCGAGTGGGTCCTTGCCTATTGCATCAGGCCAGTTCACCAGTATTGGCTCAAGCAAACCTGACCCTGCTGATGAGACGCTGAATGTTTTGACTCCGTCCAGAGTTTTCTCGCGTTAACCAACGCTGCCCAAGTCACGCACTCCACCAAAGCCTTGTGGCAGATGTGTTCAGGAGGCATACTGGCTGCTGATTGATCTTGTTACTTTATGTTCTTCACGATGCCGCTCGTGATGGCTGCGCGCTATTCTCACGATTATTCTCATTGTACGCGGAGGCGTTGGCATGGGGTTGAATACTCACGGGGAAGTTGTGGTGGTTCCCTGGACTTGGGTTTGCGCAGAGGCGGTGGTGGAGGCAGCGGGGGCGGCGGACTGATCATGCACAGGCTCTGGCAAATGCCGGCACTGTCGCCGCCGCTCTCCGTCCTGGAGAATTCTCGGCCACCCGGCGACCCCTGTGCCTGCTCAGCTTTAACCACCTTGGAACAGCAGCAGCAGCAGAAGCAGTCAGAAGTGGTCATGCAACAGGAGGGCGGGTGCTTTATTCGGCTTCAAGGCCGGTGCTAGGTGGGCGCTGGGCTGGGCTCTGCGCCACCAAATGTCCTTGGCACCACCCAAGTTCAGCCTCCTCTGTGGTGAATCATTGTCACGGTGGCTCCCCATTGTGACAGCTTTAGTGCCCCCCCCCCCCCATCAGAGAGGAAAGAGTCACAGAATAAAGAGGAAGTCTTTGAACAGCAGTAGGGAGTCGGTAGCATGGATGGTCGTGGGAGGAGATTTTAGACCGGAGGGGCAGCAGAGAAGAAGGTACAATCTCCCAATGAGTGGTGCTTCACGGAGAGTTTTGAGAGAGGTCTTGGTCATTCAAGCAGAGAGCACGTGGTGAGGAGTGCAGAGAGACAAGAGGGGCGAGAGATAGACTAGGTTCGCGAGAGAGTCCTGTACACACCTCCTAGCTAGTCGGTAAAGGTTTACACGAATTGTCAAGGCTTTGATTGGTTGAACAGCCCAGCCTCGGAGCATCAAACATTTTCAAATAACGTTATGGCCGTGCTGGGTTTCAGTGCCGCCATGGACAGCTGCGCCGTCGCGACCGGCCCTTCCACGCTCATGAGATGGCCGTAATCGTGCAGATTCAGCGCACGTGTTGGTGTCAACACTCACAAGTGCGGACATGTTAAATGGGCGAATGATGATTGGCTCCTCGCGTGTAGCCACCATTCATGTCTAGGATGAGCAAGCTTGAACGCGAATCTGTTATCGAGTGGACGGAGGGCATGAAGTGTGATTAGAATGACTGCGTGGCTGCTATTAACAACAGCAGTTGTAAAGTTGTTACTCACTTGGAAAACTGCGACCAATACGGCCACAGTGAAGTGAGCCGACAAGACGGGCCAAGAGACATGTCTGGGATCCCAAGCCAGCATTCCGACAGTGGGCAGGAGTCTGGAATATTCACAAAGTATTGTTACTCAAGACGACAACAGCCACAACAATAACAAAGCCGGACCAACAACGTCAGGGACATCCATCCAACTCGCCCTGATTGCACAAAAACAAGCAGGTCTGTGGAAAAGCCATAACGGAATTGCAGAAGAGGCATCGCGTTTCCCCTCCGCTACAAATCACTTCAAATCGTACATCCACATGCAGCAGTCACTGTGTCGTGTCTCCGCAGTGTTTAACGTGCACCCTCGGAGCCCGGGCAGACGCTGCCCATTACTCATTTCGTTTGAAAGGTTGCTGCCCATCTCCCTATCCACTGCTGGATGAGACCAGAAGCCCCTCTGGGGACACCTGGGATATCAATCCACTGCACTTTTGTCTGGATCTCGATTACCCCTGGGATGTCTCGCGTTGTTCCAGTCTACGCGCCAGGGAGTCGCTGCAAAACGACTCGTACGGCTGGATTCGCACGCCGTGCAGGTTGTCGGGGTTGTCTAACCATACTTCACCACGCTGGTCTGTGCGGGTTGGTGAAGGCGGGGGTTGCAGAAGTGCAAGCGTAGATGTAATTGAATATATGCGGCGACATACATCCCACGTGCCGTCAACTTAGTCAAGAAGCCAGCTCATCGTGGCGAGGGGAGTCAGCGCTGATAGCATCTTCTTACTGGACTCACGCTGCTACGCCCCAAAGCCACTCTCCTCCTGCCACTGCTCATGAGTCCAGTCGGATGAAGCGAGGGCGGTGGCACAAGGCGGTCGACCAATAACCCAGCTTCCCTTGGAAGCCTTGCGGTCTTTATGGGCTCTTTCGCGGTTTACCCATTAAGAAATAAATAAGCCAAAACAGCAGACTCCTTCTCATAGCTATCCCTCCACATTCAAAAATAAAATAAAAAATTTGGGACCAGTTACGAGACTCAATGTCTCACCAGCAGGGTGAGGATTGCTTGTCACTATGCTAGTGGCCTGCCACGTGTGGCTGATGGCATGTGTGAAACACACTTTTTTTGTATGTGGTGGGACAAATATGTAAAGGAGGCATGTTGTCCGCTTATTCGGAGTTACACTCTCCACAGTGACGCTCGTCGTGTTATGGTTAAACACACGGTACCGATCGCCCCACAACGTGGCACGTCTCCCACGTGCCACGAGCAAAAGTGCGACGGCGCCGTGACGCCACAGAACGAGTCCGTGACGCCATGGAGGGACTGCGTTTGCGTGAGCCCTAATGTAACCTGATGGGAAGCGATGCCGCACAATGAACAACCAATGGAAAGCGTCATTATGGGCTCCAGCATGAGAACGAACTTTACGAGTTTGAGCATGGGATTTATGACGGGGTCGAGCGTTGAATCAAAATCGCTATTATTTCTATCGATTCGTGTTCCGTAACTCCATATATGGACAATTGCACACCCAGGAAAACCATATTTGGGCATAACACACCTACTTTTCAATATCATTATGTATTCCTCCTTATTTCACGAACTCATTCTATCCTTTAGAGCACCGCGTGGCTTCTCCCCCAGAGGGATTAAACTCCTCGCGCCCACCTCCCTCACCCTGTGAGGCAAGGAACACCACTCCCATCCAGCAACAAGGAATACCACTCCCATCCAGCAACAAGGAATAACACTCCCATCCAGCAACAAGGAACACCACTCTCATCCAGCAACAAGGAATAACACTCCCATCCAGTAACAAGGAATACCACTCCCATCCACCAACAAGGAATACCACTCCCATCGAGCAACAAGGAATAACACTCCCATCCAGTAACAAGGAATACCACTCCCATCCAGTAACAAGGAATAACACTCCCATCCAGCAACAAGGAGCACCACTCCCATCCACCAACAAGGAATACCACTCCCATCCAGCAACAAGGAGCACCACTCCCATCCACCAACAAGGAATACCACTCCCATCCAGCAACCAGGAACACCACTCCCATCCAGCAACAAGGAGCACCACTCCCATCCAGTAACAAGGAATACCACTCCCATCCAGTAACAAGGAATACCACTCCCATCCAGCAACAAGGAATAACACTCCCATCCAGCAACAAGGGATACCACTCCCATCCAGCAACAAGGAATAACACTCCCATCCAGCAACAAGGAATACCACTCCCATCCAGCAACAAGGAATAACACTCCCATCCAGCAACAAGGGATACCACTCCCATCCAGCAACAAGGAATAACACTCCCATCCAGCAACAAGGAATACCACTCCCATCCAGTAACAAGGAATACCACTCCCATCCAGCAACAAGGAATAACACTCCCATCCAGCAACAAGGAATACCACTCCCATCCAGTAACAAGGAATACCACTCCCATCCAGCAACAAGGAATAACACTCCCATCCAGCAACAAGGAACACCACTCCCATCCAGCAACAAGGAATAACACTCCCATCCAGCAACAGCGGGCGCGGTGGCGGAATGTGCTAACTCGGCCAACCGAGCTTGATTTCTAGCAAAGGCTCACTAACATCAGTGACGAGTTATGGATATGTTATTTATTTTCTATGTATTAAGTTTCTTTGCCCAGGAAAGGCTGGGTAAACAAGCGTCATGAACTCGTTGTATCGATCCCGAAGGGCTGATTAGCCGAGTCAACCCTCAACCTTCCGACTGTAAGCCTCCCGTGATCCCGCTGAGCCACCTGGCCAGTGGCCATCTAGATAGGGTGGCTCTGAGCACCAATACATGTCGTGACTTTTTCAGGAGGGTCCTGACAATTTATCTCAGTAGGGAGGGGGGCGATAATTACTACGTATATTCCAATGGTAGACCAGGATGCCGTCACACAATGGCCTTACTCTTGCGAATGACGCCACGGGATATTTAACGTCCACTCTGAAGCTGATGGCACAGATATTTTATGAATAAACCTTTACTGCCATCCCCCTTCACCAACCCACATTGACAAATGCAGTGATTTATAGTCAAACAACTTCTATGACTGACACGCAGTGGCGAGGCGTTGATCCAGCAGTGGATTAACATGGTTGTAAATGCATAATTTGTATAATTAAATAAGCGCTAATCTAAACAGACATGTGTTTTTCAGCTTACACCATGAGTATACACCAGATATATAAGCTGCATCACATTAGCATCGTACAATAATACCCTGTCTGCAATCTAAATAAATAATGTATAAATACATTCATGTTGTTTTTACATCTCTGCACACTTTATATATACATGCTATCATGCCTTGTCCTATCGGCCTTCAATACCAACCATTATCGACCAGTATTTATTTTAACAATTTATCTCCCGACCAGTTTCGATAGATATTTTGTAATCCACCGGCAGGCGGGCTTGTTGCTACAATGTTATTAGATGTTACTGTCAAGAGCTTTACTTCCCAACGACAACACAAACAATAAATTAAGTATAAATAATAACCTCAATGCATGGTCGTGGATGGACAATAACCCATGATGACGCGTTTTTAGACGTTTAAACACCGAGTTTCGTCTCACGATCCTGGTACGATGGGTGACCCTCCACGTGTGGAACAGCTGTTGCGGACTGCAGCAGGGAGCTGCACTGTTATTCGAGGGCAGAACAATGTAATCCATCGTTGTGTTGTACCCTACTACATACCACACCGTCTATGCTCCCCACCGTCACCCACCCGCACTGGCCAGCATGGTGAAGTATGGTCAAACAACACCGACGCCGCGTGTACATTATCTTAACAGGAGTCGGGGAAAATACATTGAAACATGTTCTCAAAGGCTACAAAATATGTTTCGTGCAAATAATTGTCTTTGGGCCATTGCAAAACAATAAATATTAATTATCTTAAGGGCGCAAAGCTCAAACGTGTGCACAGAGTTGGTTTCAGAGTGGTATAGATGCCTCTACCACCCTGCACGCAACTGCGCGCAGGGTTATGCAATGCTGATGCCGATAGGGCCTTTGCTCACCAGCATTGGTTTAACATCAGAATATTTATACTGGAGGAATCCAATGCGCTCTAAAGGTCTTTTTCACAGATGTCCAGGAGCGGCACGTCAGAACGTCACCTCGCCAGGTAAAGCCCACTCAGCCATTAGCTTCTTATTCAGAAGCTTATCACGTGGATATTTACAGCGACAACATCACCTAAACCGCAAGTTTAAGCAAACGTGACTCTCACTTGTTTAATTAAACTCGTACACTGTAATTACACTTGTATAATTACACGTGTTTATCCAGGAACGCTTCGCCGAATCTCAGGACTTGGTCACGGGGGGGGTCCTGCCAAGTTTTGGCAGGAGGAGGCTATGATCGTGAGAGATTTGTAATCCCAATTGAGTAATTTGCGCGTAATCGTTCGAATGTTGACGAATGCAGTCCAATTTCGATTTGAAGCTTTCGTGACTGCAAGGATTCATCTTCTTTGGTTCTTTCGGTAAAGTCACGTAGAATGAGAATAAAATAATTAAATCAAATAAGACAATAAAATTCTCACGACGTTTCGGCCACAACACAGAGTAGCCTTCATCAGGTGAAAGAACAGAACTGTCGGGACGACAGTGCTCCAATGGCCGAAACGTCGTGAGAATTTTCTTGTCTTATTTTATTATTTTATTCTCATTCTCCGTGATTTTACCGAAAGAACCAAAGAAGATGAATGCAGTCCACATGACGCCCGCACACAATGGCTTCTCGCGAGAGACGTGAGGGCACCTTTAGCGGCGTGCACTCTGAAGCAGTGGATGCACCACGGGGCGCAAGTGACCAGGGAAACCGCTGGGATCCAACCGGGATCCCTGCAACAAGCGGCGAACGCGCTCCGGCTGGGTGCCTTTGCTGAGTCGACGCTGAATATTGAAACGGGTACAACGCTTTCTTACGTAAAAAAAAATGCAGTTGAAAAATGTACCCCCAGAACATCGTGCGGCCGGTGGGGGTGTGTAAAAAATACTTTGTTTCATGCGGAGCTATTGTGGTTCTCGGTTCGCAACTAGAGCGTGGGGTTTGATCTGACGTCCGCTCACATCTCAATAACTTTAGATCAGCGGTTCTTAATCTGGGGTGCACGCACCTCCTGGGGGTGCGAGATACCCTTTCTGGAGGTGCGAGACATGGCCACATTTGTTTCAGAAAGTAAATCATCGAAACACAAATTTAGCACGGGCACGTAAGTGCAACTACTTTGTTTCATCAAACTCCTATGTATTCATTAATATCAAACAAATTCATGATTGAGAATCAAAGGGGGGCAAGGCTGCAGTAATGGTTAAGAACCACTGCTTCAGAGGCGGCAACGTTTACACGCAGAGGCATGAATGTTGGACACTTTGCATCAGAGATGGCAAAAGAATGAAGGACACACCCCGTGAGCTAAGGCATGGGGAGTTTGTAAGGATTCGATGAAAACATCAACTTTTCTCAACGGACACCTTTAAATACAATTTTTTTTCAATTACCAACAACAAAGATCTCCCGCGTATCCTACACAGGCTCGTGGGCAAGTGCTGTTAGCGAGCGCCTATTGCCACCAGGCACCAGCGCAGGAGGAGTTGCTGTGGGCAGAACCGCGCCCAGACACACCAGACGACACTCATGCGAGACAAGTAACATTACGCGCGTTGTGATTGTTTACTCGACTATTTCACTTTCTTTCTGAACTGCTGGCCGTTAAAATAGCCGTACTTTAAACTGGCACGCATACATACAAAGGCCCCCTACCGCCACTATAGCCTGAACAGACTCTCGGGGCAAGTGCTGTTAGCTAGCGAGCAGGAACGGCACGCGAGAGGGTCGGTGGGTGGTCAGCACCACGTCCGGCCGCCTTTTTCTCCCTAGTGACGAAATTGATACACGGCACAAGGTACTCGGTTGAGGTTGAGTCGATCTAGGGGAGACCCAGGACAGGTTCAGATAATCATCACTGGTGTTGGTCGTGAGCGAGAATCAAACTCCGGTCTCCGAGTTCGTATCGCAGCGACACAGCGTTACGCGCACATGTAGAAGCACACAGACGTACAAACACACAAACACAGACGTACTAACACACACACACACACGGATACACGCACATCGGAGATAACGCGCTCTCAGCGGCGTGGTCGCGGCAAAGTTATCCGTCCCTTGCGCACCGCGAGGAAGACACCGAGCGCCCTCTTCCTCCTGCAGCATGTCCCCGCTTACTGGCTGGGCTGCGAGGGAAGAGGCTCCTGGATGCGTCAACTCGTCCGCCAGGTCCCAGCGGCATGGGGCGTCCGCGGCCGTTGCGCCTCGCCGCGATCAGCAGCAGTGTCCGACGCGCTGGGCGCGGGACCTCCGGCAGCCGCCTGCGCGGCCCTGGCAGCGGCGTGGCGCTGACTCCATCGGGCGCATCATCTCCGCTGCGCCGAGCCGCCGCCGCCGCCACGACCAAGACGGAACCCACCCAAAACAAACCGGCAAACAAACGATGCGCGGAAACCCCACAACCAGACGCGCGCACACACACACACAAAATCAAGAAATTGAATCTAAAGGGCCAGAGGAGACGCCATCCCTCGGTGCGGTCAAGCACTCGCGAAAGCACAAAGCGACCAAACAACAAATGTGAGTGCGCTTCCACAGAACGCGCCGCGCACCCCGGCGCGGCTTAGCCACGCGTGTCACCTTGGGGAACCATCAATTATTCAGATGGTTCATGCTCTCCCACCCCGCCTTCTCCCGAGCATCCACCACCCCTCCGCCCTCCCTCCTCCTCCTCCTCCCTGTGCGCGCAGAGATGGGGAGGCGAGACGGATGCTCGGGGATGATGCGGAGTGTCAGCGAGGTGATGTGGTGACATACAGGCAAGAGTTGGCGGGGCAGGAGGATGGAGATGGCACGCTGCGGGGAACGCGCGAAATCGCCGGACAGTTGCATCGTGCAGCCTATTGTGCCATGGAGCTCACACAGTGGAGAGTGCCACGTTGCGAGTTCAAATCTATGGCCAGGGCGTGTACTTTGAGAATCGCATTAGAAGTTAGAAGCAATTATATCTCGAGCAAATCATTTTAAAATGTGTGTCTATGCAAAGGAGGCCTATCCACACCGTGTCAGTCATGACGTTGTTTGACCATACTTCACCAATATGGTCATTGTTGGTTGGGAAATCAGTGCCCAGGTCAGATTCACATATCACTCACCACCAATGTTTTACCGTGATCGAGAATTTAACTCAGATGCCATGATTAAAAGGGCACTCTGCAAATCACTTTTTCCTCCAAATGTGAGATTAGCTATGACATTATGGTACTGCTCTTGCCATAGGAACATGAAAATGTCCACCAATGGGGTCAGTATTCCGAAAGGAGGTAAGGACCATTTAATACTCTTTTGTAGATATAGGAATACTGGCGTGGGTGGTGGGGCAAGTGGTTAGCAAACTCTCCTACAAACCCGGTGACCTGAAGTCAGTTCCTGAGCACAGCGCACATCAGTGGCGAGGGATATCTGAATCAGGCTTCGCCGCCCCCTTCACCTACCCAGCAATGAATTGACTCAGGGCCGTATATTTTGTTTACGTGAACTACTGTACTGCATTCATTCATTCATTCCATTCGTTTATTCATTTATTTATAATTCGAGACCGGGAAAGGCGAGTGGGCTCTTCAGGCTGAGATGATGTCTCGGGGGGGCAGACACCACTTCCTGTTCCCAACGAACGGGCAGACAGAATTGCAATTGAGCGTGCGCTGACCTAGTTCAGTTTGGATCACTTCCCCGTGTTCTAAACACAACTCTGAGGAATCGCATTCAGATGCCCCGTTCATCGTATGAGTGTGCAAATGGTAATACAAAAAATAATCAAATCACATTTCTCCAAGTGGATTATATATTTGCATGCATGTAGAGGCAATTCTCAACCCATTGTTGAATGAGAGTTTCCCCATGCCGTGCGGGTAGTGGGGGAGACCATACTTCACCAGCTGGTCAGTGTGAGTCTCGTGCACCAATATAAAAGCTCTACAGCCACCCAATTTGCGAAATTAAAAGTGTGGCCAGGAGCTGAGGTCGTGTTGCTTCATGCTTGACCTGGTCCACAAGCCCAACAGGAGAACAGCATCCCGTGCAGCCTCATCCACTACCCCACAACCCATTTGCACAGCTCCATCGAGTCCATGCGATATGGTCGCGTGCTGTTAAGAAAATCAATAAATTTACAGTAAATTATTTGGTAAAAGGGGTCATGTAGCTCAGCGAAATTTTTAAACCACTTTATCTCGGTATCTCACTTAGTCCTTATTTAAAATGGTATTCAGCTACTTCCAATTATTAAATGTTAAAGCGATTAGTTGTGCACGTCAGTGGATGCACGGATGCAGCCGGGTTCACTCTGTGCTCCAAGAGAAACAAAACTGTGGCTCTAATTGCAAAGACAACGTAAACAGATGTATTCCTTCCTCAATTAACACGGTGCTCATCTCCTGTTTACATCGCTGATGCAACGGAGGAAATGCCATATCTTTATTGTGCGGCGAGTCTATTCATGTGGCAGTCACTGTTGACTTCCTCACAAGGTGGTACCGATTTTATTGACCCCGGCGAGATGATGGTCTGAGTCGATCCCCGACCAAGATTTGCTGCTTAGCCGGTCAAGCAGCAATCAGAATTACAGAGGCGGACGAGAAGCACCTCCCACTGCAATCGGCAATGACATTACCGCCAGCAGCTACTCTCCGTTTGCATGAATTGAACAACATACATTGTTTTAGCCGCTTGTTATTCTCCAGTGGTTTCATAAAAAAATGTTTAAACACAGTGAAGACATACACGAATAATTACATGTAATTATTGTGAATAGGCAGAGTCTTAAGCATACCCATTACAATTATATGAGGCACAATACCTCGCTGATCTCGCCAAGGAGCATAAACCATCACGTAAACTCCGGTCATTCTCGCAGTGGCTTTTGGCTGACCATCGAACAACGCCGGCCACTGCATCGCGCGCTTTCAGATGCCCTTCTGTGGTCGTTTGGAACACTTGCGATATTAGGAAGCCACCGGAGCTATACACTTTTAAATTCTATTTTGAAAACTCATTTCTTTAGAACTGATGTTTGTGTTAAGTTTGTTGCCGTTCCCCCGCGCCTCCGATGAGCACGGTTGGCTACGTACGGTGTCAAAGAAGTTCGACATGCCGACACCCATTACTGCGACATTTTTTGCATGGCCATCAGATTTTCGCATAAAAAAAAACAATATTTTCACTGGCACAACCATTCATGGGAGCGGAAGATATTTCACGGAGCGGCACGTTCAGAGCTGTGTAATGCGGTTCAGCGTTTCTGACACCATCGTGGCGCACTCAAAAGGGCTCAACCCCACGGCGGCCTGGTTCGTGGAGAGCGTCACGGCCTGGTTCGTGGAGAGCGTCACGGCTTGGTTCGTGAAGAGCGTCACGGCTTGGTTCGTG